GAGTGTGTGTGTGTGTGTGAGTGAGTGTGAGTGTGAGTGTGAGTGTGAGTGTGAGTGTGAGTGTGAGTGTGTGTGTGTGTGTGTGTGTGTGTGTGTGTGTGAGCTGCACGTGCTTCTGCTCCTGTGGCATCTAATGAGATTCCCCTCGTTAAAGTCTTTAGTGTAGTAATCTGGACCTGCACACACACGACCCGAGATCTGCGCAGAGCGACAGCAGATCCAGAAGAACAGGGATATTCTGAGTGTGGCGCTGTTAGTGGAGTTTCATCGGCCCTGAGTGACTGGAGCGACACAGGTGGCTGTTACTGGATAGAGTCGAGGGTCACTGAACAATACAGTCTGTATGTAAACGCTTTATCTGAATTCATCATGCCTCTCTGTGCATTACTAGATTGCGATCGGTCATTCTGTGCTCTTATATTAATATCTAATGACTCTAAACTGTGGAACTGACTGATGTTTCAAGTTAGTTACAAAAAGTGATTTCTGTCTTGTTTTCCAGTACAAATATCTAAACATCCTTAAATCAAGACACATTTACTGGAGATGCAAAATGATATGAAGTCTTGTTAAATGAGAAATATATTCAAATGAAGTGAGTTTATGGTTAAAAGGAGAACAAATGTCTCCCAATTGGGTCTTGTTTTTCCCTTCGAATGAAGCTGATTTTTCTGACCATGTTGGCTGATTTTTGGGACACTGGAAGCACATGTGATGTGTGTGAATATAATTGATGTTTGTGTCCAGATTTGAGTCTCTCCATCTGTCCCCGTGTGTGTGATTACAGCACCGTCTGATGATGATCCAGCCGCACACACAGATAGTGCTGCTATAGATCTGATCGTAAGCATCATGGAGTCCATGCTGAAGACGTCTCTGCTGGCTCCCATAAAGACGCTCAAGTTCTGCGTGAGCGGAGAGAAGCAGCGGTCCAAAAGAGGGTCCAAATGGCCCGGGTCAAAGGGCAGGACCGGCGCGCCGGACCCGCGTCTGCTGCGATCCTATCAGGCCGACCTGGAGAGAGAGAGGTGAGACGGGTCACCTGATAGGACCTCAGAACATCATGTGATGTGAAGAAAGAGGCTCAGGTTACAATCAGAACGTCTGACTGATTCACTGTGAACAGTAACGCTCTCTCTCACTCCATCCTCAGGAAGCTGCGCGAGGCGATGAACGCTCAGAAGAACGCCGAGAGAGCTGCGATCAGAGCACATTTCAGGAGGAAATACCAGCTGGCCAAGGTCCTCTTTGTAGTGTGAACTCTCTATTCTCTTAGAGTCCATGGGATTGTAGATCATTATAGTTATTATCGTTATTGGTGTGAACGGACCTTAAGTGATGACATACACTTGTGTAGCATATTAACACACAGATATGATATCAGAGAGATCAAAGCATCATTGTTACTCTTCCAGAAGAATCACATGTAAAAATCACATGTAAAATATGCATGTGAAATGTGGTTTTGGAACATTTTGCTGGTGTAAACGTGTGTTTTCCACACTGGTTTTTTTACACCATGAATATCAAATCCACATTTTAATTACACTCGGAGTTCATTATAAACCGAGGCTTTCTTGCATGAGTGTTGTGTTTGAGGGAATCTTGCAGAAAACTGTCTAATCACCTAAAAACATTCATAAATCATGTTTGCATGTGAATACATTTGATCTATTCAATTAAACAATTAAACAGCCTTCATGTGTAGCTTATATGCAATGCAAGACACTTTGATTTAAAGCCTCAGCCAAATGCATAAAAGTTTTGCACAGAGAATAAATCCCTGTATGTTGTTAAAAATCATTGTAATGAGATGTGATTGTGATTTGTCCTCTGGCTCATTAGTCTGCTCTTTTTAATCCGTCCCAGAATGCCAAGGACGCGGAGCAGCTGCGTGCCGTGGGGGGGAGAGTGTGTCTCCCGCGAGATCTGGCGAAGATGGTTGGTCCCGAAGCCCCTGCTAAAGACGACAGCTTCGGACTTCTCAGGGCCTTCCAGAGCCTCAGCCTCAGCGCCGGGATCTTCACGGGGAAACAGAGCCAAACACCCGCGTCACGCACCGACACGGAGCCCTGCAGGGTCATGTGACGCTCAAACACACCGCCGACGGACGCTTTCACACGCAGTGTGTCACTCATCACTGATGCTTTGTGTTGTTTTATGAATGCACAAGCGTGTCTCAGTCGCACAATAACACCGCAGTGGGAGCTTTGACATAGTTTTGTGTTTATTACCTCATATGCTTCACACAAACATCAGGAAACTCATATTTCTCTTACACTTTTTATTTTATTTTCAATTTATTTTATCGGGATTTGTGGGTTTATAATTGTTGTAAACGTGTCACTTGTTTATGTAGTTCTCTGAAAGAGATCATATAGGCTTGGATAGTTTTATATGAAGCTAATTATAATGACAGCAGACTAACTACAAGAAAACGTGACAAAACATTTCATTTATCAAGCAGTTTTACCTTTGAAGGCATCTCATTTTGATTGATTTGAACTCTCTTATGGAGCTTGCATAGCTGTACTTTGGGAAAAAACACACACAGAGTTAATGTACTGGATCGTGTGTGTGTGTGTGTGTGAGAGAGAGAGAGTGTGTGTCTGTGTCTGTGTGTGTGTGTGTGTGTGTGTGTGTGTGTTTGTGTGTGTGAGTGTGTGAGTTGTGCAACAGTATTGTTTAAGATAATTGTACAGTAAAAAATACTGTATTACAGTAATGAATATCATAATTGAAATACATGGAACAGTAAAAGTAAAACTTCAGGATGCAATAATATGAATGGGACTGAAAAATTTACAGTAGTGAAAATTTGAGGGTAAAATGTGCTTAATTGTCCTGAAAAACAGTGCTCCATTTAATTTATTTTATTTTATTTAGTTTCCTTTGCAAAATATCATTTTCATGATTTTGGACTAGAATGTGACACAGACACGATGACTGATTTCCAGCCTTATGGATCAGTCTTTGTGAATGAGATTTCTTAAGGATGTTGAATGGGTTTTATTAATGCATAACTTCTGAATGACTTCAAACACTGAGGCACCAGAGGAGCCGCGTGTGTGTGTGTGTGTGTGTGTGTGTGTGTGTGTGTGTGATCAAGCTTAGAGTCTCGTCTCTTCGTGTAAATGTCAGTTTTTCTGCTGCTGGATGTTTTGTAAGTTTCTGCTTTAATAATAAGCACACATGCGTCTGACGTTCCCTGAAAGCATCAGTTTTTCAGTGTTTTTATTTGTATAACCCTTTACACAATACACATCGTTTCAAAGCAGCTTCACAGAAATGTATACCATTAATAAATATGACATTTTAATGCATTATACAGTAATCTACGATCGAGAGGTTTAGAGCTGAATGACTGGATAGCTTTCATTTGTTGATTATATAAAAAATCAAGCAGATTTACTATTAGTTTATATTGTTATATGTGATTAGATGTAAATGCTGGATATGCATACAGTATTATAGTTTGATTTTGATCATATTGTCCATGTCGAAGCATTTTAACAAAGACTGAATGATTAAAAGTCATGCCATAATGTTTTTATATTTAGTTCATCAGTGTGCAAACCAAACACAACTGTGTTAAGGAATAAAAGCATCACATGCATATTATTGTGTACGAGCATCTTATTTGAGATTCACATGCGTTCTGCATCATAAACGTGTTCTCCTAACATCTGACATTAAGAGCAATAATGCAGATGAGTAAACACTCTTCCAGATGAAGACGAGCTTCAGATAGACGTCTGGGTGATGTGTGTGTGCTGTTAGGCTAGTGATTGATCTGCTCTTTATGGAAATATGATATGATATTAAAATCAGCCCATCACAGCTGGTCTGTCTCTGTGTGAGAGAGAGTGTGTGTGTGTGCGTGTGTGTGTGAGAGAGAGAGAGAGAGAGAGCGAGTGTGTGCACGCACGTGTGTGTGTGTGTGTGTGTGTGTGTGTGTCTGAGAGAGTGTGCGTGTGTGTGTGTGTGTCTGAGAGAGTGTGTGTGTGTGTGTGTGTGTCTGAGAGAGTGTGTGTGTGTGTGTGTGTGTGTGAGAGAGAGAGCGAGTGTGTGCACGCACGTGTGTGTGTGTCTGATTGTGTGTGTGTGTGTGTGTGTGTGTGTGTATGTATGTGTGTTTATCCAGCTGATGTGTTGTTCTTATCTTGAACTATGCCCTGATGTGACAATAACTCATTGGTACAGTGAGAGAGCAAGGGCTGGAGGACAGACAGACGGTGTGTTAAAGGGGTTCAGAGTGATCGGATCGCGTCAGAGAGCGGCAGCATGCTCTCCTCAGGCGTGCGTCCTCCGGTGTTCTCCACGGCCGTCCGGTCTCTGTGTGTCGGCGCGTGCGGCCGTGAGGATGCGGCGATGGAGCGGCCGCTGCAGAGGAGAACCGGAGGAGTGCGAGACTTCCAGGAGATTCCTCACACCGGCAGCAACGGCTGGATCAACCTGCTGCGCTTCTGGAAGGACGGGAGATTCAGCCTGCTTCACAAGCACATGGAGAGCACCTTCAGACGCCTCGGACCCATCTACAGGTGCAAACTAACACCAGAGCAAACGGGTTTGAGAGTTATGAATTCATGCACTAAAGCTGATGTTCTCCATCACCATCATCTCTACAGAGAGCCGCATTATCAATAACACTCATTTACTGAACTTGGATCTGTCATATAGAAATATCTGCCAGTGGAGTGTTTGTTCTTGTCATAAACTCTTTATTTAACATTTAAACAAGACTTCTTATGTCATTTTGCATCTCCAGTATATATATATATTGATTTAAAATATTTTAGATATTTGTACTGGAAAATTTGATCATAGATGATTCATCACAAATACTGTGCAATCATTGAAGAAATGTTCTTTATTTTGCAGTTAGTGCTGCTTGATTCAGGCAAAAATCATAATCACGATTATTTAAAACGATTACTCATTTTTTAACTTAAAAAAACAACTTTTTTCAGTTTTAAAAATGACATTAAATAAAATTAAACTGTTAGTTAATTAATGACAAATGCCTTTGAAACAAAAAGGCATGAAAAATACATAGCATTAATAATTCTTGTATTTTAATGCATTATTTTCCTAAAATGCAACATGGTTGTTAAGCTGTAAAAATTTAAATTGGAAACATTTCACACACAATTTAAGCATTAAAAAGTCAATATTTTATATTCATCTTCCAGAGTTCATTTCCAAATATTCAAATCAAATTAAAGCAGCTGAACTCAGATTGTGTGTTTCAGGGAGTATCTGGGCTCTCAGAGCAGCGTGAACATCATGCTGCCGATGGACATCGGGGAGGTGTTCCGATCCGAGGGTCTCCATCCGCGCCGCATGACGCTGCAGCCCTGGGCCACACACAGAGAGACGCGCAGACACAGCAAGGGCATCTTCCTAAAGTCAGTGTGTGTGAGTGTGAGTGTGTGTGTGTGTGTGTGTGTGTGTGTGTGTGTGTGAGTAGACACGTGTGTTACTGTGATGCAGTGAACCCAAAAACACCACTTCATCAGATCTCAAACGCTGCAGGATCTCTGTCATCACTTTTCTTCATTATTTCTGCAGTCTCAAACTGTTCAGCAAACTTCACTCAGATGTTTTGCTGTAAAGTGTGTTTGTGCATCTCTCTGTACTGTAATAACGTTGCTGCAGGAACGGGACGGAGTGGCGCGCCGACAGGCTGCTGTTGAACAGGGAGGTGATGGTCACTTCAGCCGTACGGCGCTTCCTTCCGCTGCTGGACGACGTCGCGCAGGATTTCTGCCGTTCGCTGCGACACCGGGTGGAGACGGAGGGAGTGGGGGAGACGGGTCAGCGTAGTATGACCCTTGACCCCAGTCCTGACCTCTTCCGCTTTGCCCTGGAAGGTCAGTGTTATGTTGTTGAGTTGAGAATAATTTTGTACATTCTGTTATCATGCTCTGGTTAATGGTGCAATCACATGCCCTCTCTCCAAAACGCCACCTTATCTCCAACCCCACCCTCTGCCCAAAAACCCCGCCCTCTCTCAAAACCCCCACCCTCTTCCCAAAAACCCCGCCCCCCTTCAAAACCCCCACCCCCTTCCCAAAACCCCCCCCCCC